GTATAGCAGCTGTTCTCTGCTGTAGGTTGTGCCGTTTCTTTTGTTTGTTTCTTAACCAGTGCTAAGTGTTAACGCTTCAAAACAGCACATAGAGACTGTAGATTGATGCCTTGTGAAGGTACTCGGAGAATGCAATGAGAGTTTAATTCTTTTGGCAATAAGTCATGATAAATTTTCTCAAAAGAAATGTAAGGGCGGTCTTGAGTTTAGCTATTTTTCACCTCCCTTCTGCAGTGTGAGACTGTGGTTGTTGGTACTTGTTTTCAATAAGCAAAGTCTGTTAGTTCTCAACTTCATGGCATGTATTGTTTCCAGATTACCATGTCTGGAGCAAAATTATAAGCATTACTATCCAACTTTAGCAGTAGAACAGACTTCCGTTATGATAGCTTTTTTCATAATTTTCTTTCATTTTCCGCGATTTGTCCGTAATTTATACTTTCAATGAGAGTAAGAAGGCACTAGGATGGTTAAACAAGCTGCTTCTGCACATCCTACTTTGTGTACCTGTGTAGAGATTGAAGGTCATATTAATATCAACACTTTGTACCTTAAGCAATCTGATTGGAAATCATATTGTAGAAGAAATAGAAGTAGCATGTTAAGAAAATAAATGGTGAGACACAACAGTTCCTGGAAATCCTATATTTTGCTGGTCTATTGTTGGAAAAGGTTAAAGCTAGAATTAAAAAAAAAAATCATCTTGAGTGATCTGATTGGTAATCGAACAGGGAAGAAAAGAAGTAGCATGGTCAGACAGCCAGAAAGAATAAAAAGTGAGACAACTGTTTCTGGAAATCCTATTTGCTTAACTAGTGTAAAATTTGAAGGTCAAGCTAAAGGAGAAGTTTTTTTCTTGAACAATCTTATTAACTCGAAGAAATAAAAGTTTGATCAAGTCTCTCTTGTGATTTTGTTTATACTTTAAATGGTTTAAGTTTGAATTTACTGATTCTGTGGTGTCTTTCTTAGTCCCCAGATGATTCTGCAATTTCCTTGGTCAACATTATTCGCCACCATGAGACTGAGTATCTGGCTTCTCTTCAGGTTTTTAGTTGTTCCTGCATCACATTCAACCCCTCTTTCTATCATGTCACCTAACACTTCCCCCTTGCCTGCCACCACTTTTCTATTAAGTCTCTGTTGCCGGTATTTTTGTTCCAAGTTACTGATCGATTTTTTACTGGCAGACATCTTACTTGAAATTGCCTGATACCACTTTCAAGGTACTCCTTCAACTTCAAAGCCTTTAAGTCAAAATATTTTAAATGAAAGATGCATGAGTGCTTGTCATTACAATCTCACAGCAGTCATGTTTTCTCACTATTGTCTTGGCTGGGAGAAACACCTCTCACCACCTTGCACCATGAAAAGGATGCAAATAAATAAATTCTTATCTTTTGCAGGACTTGCGGAGGAAGCTTCCCGTTACTCGTACATTGTTCCCATGGCACAACACTGCACAATTTAGCCTTACAAGAGACATCGAAAAAGAACTTGGAATTGGAAAATAGAAACATTGCATGTCTTTTATACAAGTTGAACATGTATACACCATTCTTGATATGACAAGCGAGTTTACTTGAGATTGCCGTCTCCGGCTATTTGTTGTCTTCTCCCTATTGTATTCCTTTGAGAGAGGGATTTTCATTTTCTGTTATTTTACCATGTTTGTTAATGTGTAAACTGCCCCTTAGTTGTTAATTTGCCAGTTGGCCTGAGAGAGTTGTGTATGCTGAGAAGAGTTGTAAAGTACTGAATTGGAAGTCTTTCATCATGGTTTTTAACCTTGGAATGACTGAACAATGCTGGTAAAGAATGATACTTTTTAGTTGTTATAATGTACTTACTTTTTTCAAACGTTTGAAAGGTCGAGGTGAATCCAACCATCAAAATGTTCAAACTTTGTTGTAATTTCATTTAATCTGTCCCTTTAAGATTTTGTTGGATCATAAAATCTGTGAACCTTTGTTTGGATGGTTGTTATATCATTTCATAATTTATCCTATTGTATTGTCATCACGGTTGGATAGATTGTATCATTTTGTTTGTCATGTATGACCAATTTGAAGGACAATTATGGTGTATTGAATTGTATTTTCATCAAGTTTGGATAGATTGTATCATTTTGTGTATCACATATGACCAATTTGAAGGGCAAACCTTTAAGAAAGGTAGGGGAAAATGAATAACTAAAAATGTATTATAAATGATGAAGTATAATTAATAGATAATAGATAATAAACAAAGATAAAATGAGAAAAATAAATAAGGTACTGTAAATGATAAAATATGATAAACAAAGATAAAATAAGAAGAACAATAAGGCAACAATTGCTTAAGTTTGTACAAAGTATACGTGAAAATTTCGGAGGTCACACAAAAAAGTTCCGTTACCGGGAATCGAACCCGGGTCTCCTGGGTGAAAGCCAGATATCCTAACCGCTGGACGATAACGGATGTTGTGTACCTTGTTCTATTTAAAACAATTTAACACAAAAGTACGAACTATCGTCCAATTTTGTTTTTGCCCGTATTGTCCCATGCGACCATCTCCAACCCACCTCTATTTTACTATTCATTCTCAATATTTAGAGAGTAAAAATAGAGAATGGGCACTCCAACCCCTCATTATTTTAGTTTCTATTCTTTATTTTTAGAGAGGTGAATAGTAGTTTTATTATTTTGTAATTAACATTACTTACATATAATGTCATTACTTAAATATCTTATATTTGATTTTTTTTAAATGTAATATAATATTTTAAAAATATATTATTTAACATATACTATATTCATTCCGAATTAACAATATTTCAATATTTTTTAATTTTCCTCACTAATATAATTTGATTTTATTATTAATTTTCACTATAAAGAATGTACAATTAAAATGATAAGATGAAAATTCTAATTTGAAATTACAATACATAACATAATAGTTTATATACAAGATAAAAGTCTAATACATAAGATGATAATTTAAATGCAAGATAACAATACAATACATAAGATAATAATTTAAATACAAAATAACATACAATAAATAACATAATAACTTATTTATCACAACAATATTTAGTAATCCAGTAGATCATTTTCAGATTTAGCAATATTCTGAAAATAATAATAATGTATGATCCTAAAAATTGTTGTAATTGCGGTTGTGCATATTGATTTCTTTTTTCAATTATTCATAGTTGTTCTTGTTGCATGTAATCACGAACATTTGGATCACTAATAGCCTCTAAATTTTTCCTTAAAATTTTATTTTCTTCTATAAATTCCTTGAGTTTGATATATCCATCTAGCCTTTCACCGTCTCGTTGTTTGGATGTAGCTGACTCTAATTGCACCAACAAAAATGACGGTAGATGAAAATCTCTTATTTGAACAATTTTTAGTTAGACATAAAAAATTAAGGATAAAAATGTTAATTTTGAACTCCGTAATGCATTATCAGAGCATTTTTGGGAGTAACATAATAATCTTGAAAGTTGAGTATTTATGTAACGTTTATGTAATTGTATTTCACTAATGATTTCACTTTTATTTGAATTGTGCATTAATTTGTATATTATACAATATTTGATTGCAATTTATGTTATTTAGAAATTTAAAATAAAATATAATTTCATTTTAAAAATAAAATATTATATCACATGAAAATTATATAAAATGATTATTTGGGAAAAGAAAAAAACAATAATTTATGTTATGAAATAAAAAAATAAGAATGAAATAAAATTAATAATATAATATTAAAGAAAGAGAATAAAATAAAAAATCGAATTGAAGTTGATCTGCTAAATAAAAGAAAATTGAGTTGAAGTTAATTTTCTGAAAAATAAAAAATTATATATTTGGAAACTAAAATAGAAAATATGGTTGGAGTCTTTGGAGATGTATAAAATACGGTGAAAGTGAAAGTAGTAGGCGATTCAATTTACAACCTATGAAACGTGGAGCCCACCCAATTCATACTTCATAGCCCTAACGGCGGTAGAACAGAAAATTTTCAATTTAAAATAAAGTTGGACTCCACTTGGTACAGTTCAAGCTTAATCTAGGAACCTTAAGTTTTCGTGTTTTTTTTTTTTCAACAGAGGGAGGAGAAAGACGAAGATCAAGCTAGGTAAGGCTTTGAATATCTTATATGTATTAGCAAAGATTATTGCGTATAAACTCATGCGGTGTCTAGGTTTGAATGTAAAAAAGAGAGAATTTACAGATTTAAGTTTTCTTTTTTTGTGTATGTGCAATTCTTCGGGATCAGTTTTTTGTTTTATTGGTAATTCCTGTGTTTTGACTTTTGCAGGCAATCTTGAATTCGGAATTTCCCCCATCTAAAGATGGTAGGTTTAGCGACAATCGCCTTCTGAGCTGTAGGGTTAGGGTTAGGGTTTTGAGTTCTTATGAAGCTCTAATTTTTATTTTTCTTCTGTCTCAGCTTCCCCCTCTCTTTGCTCAAGACTGCACAGGGGCATCCCATGGTAAGCTTTTGAATTCATGTGGAAGAGGGTTAGTGTCTCCTTTTTTTTTTTTCTCTCTTCCTAATTTATTGTTTAGTCTGATCTTAACTCTTTTCGGTGTGGTAATGCAGTTAGATCAATTAGGTTTTTCCAAGTGCTGCATGTTTTGAATGAACCCGAACTTATTAATAACATACAAAAACAACAAACCATGTGAATAAAGTAGTTATAGGAATACAGGAGTGTAATTCTCCTGTTGTAGCTGTTTGGGAAATTGGAGGGAGAATAACAATAATGATTTCATGTTTTGTCCTGTTGTTAGTTGAGGCTTTTGGCTAACATTCTTAAAGGCAACAGATTTTTTGTTGGTATAGTTTATCAGTTTCTGCATATTTATATTGTATCTCCAAAATATGCCACAAGTCCTTGGAGCCCATGAGATTCGAGGGATTTTGAGAATTCGTATGGGATTATTGTATTTGTTCAATTATCTCAATCTGGTAAACTTTTGTTTCTAATACAGTTGGTGGAGACTAAAAAATGGAGAGACTTATAATGGTCATTTGGTGAATTGTGATACTTGGATGAATATCCATCTTCGTGAAGTTATCTGTACGTCAAAGGTAATTCATTGTTTTTTAATATGTTATTGCTAGGTTTTCAAATGTATTGGTGCATGACCACCTGATTTTTGAAAAATTAATGCAGGATGGAGATAGGTTTTGGAGAATGCCTGAATGTTATATTCGTGGCAATACCATTAAGTATCTTAGAGTTCCTGACGAGGTTAGTTTATTTTCTTAATTACTATGATTAATAATGCTTTCGTGTAGTATTATTTGTTTTTCACTTGCAACATAGTGTGTATGGCATGTTTGGACCTTGTACTAAGGGAACAGAAGATGGGTGCCTATTTTGTAGTAGTTATTTGTATTATTAAATGGTTGCTTTGCAGGGGTGACTGTAAAATTTGTATACTAGTTGTGGAATGGAGGTTTCTACTTAAGTACCTAGGACTAAACTACTTGCTTTAGTGTTATCACTCAACATGACAACGAGTTTGAAAAATCTCTAGTTTTCATAGAGAGTACACGTTAATATACACAATAATATTTTTTTACACACCTCCTAACGTACAGGCCTGAATTCTTTTTTCCTTGCCAAGCACACAGAAGTTATTTTCTGATATTGGGTGGGTTGAGAATTGCACCATGTTGAGATGTGAAATGTGTGATCATCTGATGTAAAAGCTTAAGTTGTTAGGGAGGACACATTTTAATTTACTTAATAACATCTTGTACAGAAAACGGAGGACAGTCCATTTACACCTTTATGGTGGTGCATTGTAGGTTTGGTTTGATGTAGGTAGGTGGAATCAAGATACTAGCTAATCTTGGTGTGACCAAACTTATGGATATACTTGTCTGGTTACTCACTCAATGGGGCTTTTAGGGGTGGGTTTCAGTTGTGCTGTTGTAGGCTGAAGTTATGTTACTAGCTAATCTGTGGTGTCTGGGCCTATGGGGCTAAACTTACCTTGACATACTTGGAATCAGAGCAGGAAAGAATAGAGAACCGGGTAGAAAAGTTAAAAGAGGTATTAGCAGTAACACATGTCTGAGCAATAATGCAGGGAACTGAAGGTTGATCTTACAACACAACTCTGATGTTCCTAAAGGCTAAATATAAATGCATCCAATATTCTTGTTGCCTCTTTTCTACTGATAAAATAGATTTCTTGAAATGAAATCATTGCTGTGGTTGGAACATTAGTGTTTTAGACTTTGAACATAGTGTTCTTCTCAAATAAGATGTGTAGCCTTCCGAGGGCCTGTGCACCCCCGGGATTAGTCGGGGCTCAAAGAGACTCGGACACCCGGTGCAAATCAAAAATAAAATAAAAATAAGATGTGTAGCCAAGTGGTTTTCATATAAGATTCAGAAGTTAGATAATTCTTAGTTCTTAAGTAATTATTTTCCAATAGTACTGGCTTATTTTATATCAGATATCCTATACTAAAAAAAATATAAAATGTTAGACATCACAAGGTTGAACCACTATTGATGTTGTTCTTTCTTGCATGCCTGTAGTCCACTGTATGTTCATTTCCCCGTGACTGTGAGTAGAACATTCCTGTAAGAGGAGAATTGATTACGCTGATGTGATGCAATTTAGCCAAATCAGACATTGTTGTGCTCCCTATGGACCATGAATCTGACACCTTAGGTAGGAGTGCGACTCTATGAAGATGGCAATGAGAGATTGTTTTAGCAATGACGAGCTTCCATGTGAAATCTAACGTTTGCAGTTTTGACTAAATAAAGCGGCTGCGCCTGCTTTCTGCTTTTATTTTCTTCTTAGAGCGTATTATACACTCTTCCACCCTGTTTTTTTTATAGCTCATGACAGGCACATATGGGAAGTTATCCTAGCTTCTCTCGTCCATTCGCCTTCCACACATTCATAGTTGATTCAGGAATGACCTTTGAGTTTTGGAAGTTATCCTTTTGTTGATCTTTTAGGAGTGCCAGGAACCATCGTTTCCCAGTGTTTGCTTCCTCTGTTAGATGCTTTTCTTTTTGTTTGTGTGGGCTTTCAGTACTAGCTAGGAAGGCAGATGATGTTTGAATATAGCTGTTATCCTAATTTTCTTTACTTCTCCTTTGTTTGGACACATGGGGGATGGGGAGTTCGAAAAGGAGAGGTAGGTGAGAAGAGTTTTCATGGGCAGCTCACATTTTCTTTTAAAAAGTCATAATGTTAACAGATAGAAGTAGCTGTAAAATGAAAACCCCCTATATCCTTTCAGATGTAAATGCCAGATTTACACTTTCACTTCTATAAAAATGGAAAAGAATGCAGATTGCCTGTTCTTTTATACATGGAATAACTTTAGTATTGCAACATTATTTTACTGAGAGGCTAAGCTTTGTAGATATTCTTGATTATATATATTTTAAAATATGGACATACCTACTTGTGTTTATTGGTTTGAATAGTGCATTTTTATCACCGGGGTTGAAGACTGAGTTTGCAGTAGTTTATAAATTCTGGAAGCTTAGTCTGCCCTTGGCTCTTCATTTGACCAAGTTAATAATCCCTCTTACTGCTGTTTGGTTAACTATGCTATACTTTTCCAGGTGATTGATAAAGTTCAAGAAGAAACAAAAAGCCGTGGAGGTACTACTTTGGACTATTAACTATCAGGAATTGTTATAACTAACTTCTAATTAGCTATTGGATCAGTGTGGGGTTTGTTGATTTTACAAATACTGCCCTACTAGCCTAGAATCAGTGTCTGAGCATTCAGCTTAATTAGTATATTTTTAAATCCTTTTGCAGATAGAAAACCACCTGGTGTCGGTGGACGAGGAAGGGGAAGAGGAGGTAGGGATGAAGGTGCTGCTGGAAGACAGGCGAAAGGCATTGGGCGTGGAATGGAAGATGCAGGTGCCAAAGGCCGGGGCAAAGGAGGACCTGGTGCCAAGTCTGGTGGAAAAGGTATGAAGTGTTCAATATGCAAGTTATAATGTAATTTTATTCTCGTTCTGCTAAAGCTTATGTATCCCCGAGTCTCAATCCGCAGCGACCATGTTCAACACTTGAAATTAGTCTCCATACAGCAAGTCTCTATGTTGTAACAGTCCTCAAGTATATTTGTGAACGCAATATTTATATAGCCATTTGCTAATCAGAAGATTCTGGATGTGGTATTTATTGTACAGGTGGTGGCCGTGGACGTGGCTAATCGTCGTCATTTAGAGACAAAGAAGCCAGATGACAATCTAGATATTATTGTATCTTAATTTTGTTTGTACTTTCAAATTATAAAGCAACTTACCGGAGAAAAGGCCTGCTTCCAGTTATTATTATTTTAAGATGAATGTATGTAGGCTTGAAATGCTCACTCTCTTTCCTTTCTGATGACATGTAAGAGTTCGTGTCTTGAAAATATTTGGCTCCTCAGTATGTGTGTTATTTTAAATGAAAACTTAGCTAGCTTTCTTTACCCAATCCAAGAAGCTGGATTTCTAGTGAAAGACGCCTTTCACTTTATACTTAGAATGTTAAATAACACGAGTAAATATTTCTGTACTTAAGATTAGGGAGGCAAACATTTGGTTTTATCTATTAATTTCCAAAAGATGTGACTATTGCTTCTTTATTTGTAGGTTTCAAGTAATGCCATATTTGGATGAGTTCTCATTGAAAATATGATTACACTTAGATACATGTATATTTGCTATGAGAGAGGCAAGTGAGATAGGTGAGGGAGGTCAACGAGATTCGTATGTATTTCAAATACAAGCGAATCACACTAGATACATGTATTTGTAGAGTGAGAGAATTGTAATGTACTTAAATACATGTGAATTCACTTGGATACAATGTATACGAAAGGAGTACCTTTTTCTGTATTTTCTTTTATAATTCCTGTTTGTTTGAGGTTTGACGAAAGAAAACTTATCCAATAATTGAAGCCACTTCAAGGCAGTCACGTATTCTTTAGTATAAAAACAAACTAATTATGGGATGCAGACAAAATGTTGCTATATAAAAATTAAATATCATTTTGTGTTAAGACATATTTCTCTCCTCATCATCAGCTGTTAGTGTAGTTGATGGCTGGCATCAAAATAGATATGGAGCATGTGATAGTTGAATCTCAAGAAATGGAGAAAGAAGAAGAAGAAGAAGAAGTAAAGCCTCAAAAGACAAAGCGAGTTGCTTCCCTTGATATTTTCAGAGGCCTCACTGTTGCAGTAAGTTTGACCATCTTTCTCTTCTTATGGACCTTTCCTTCTCCTACTTGGCGAAGATTGGAACAATGGGATTATAATTCTACTTGGACAATGAAAATCTCATAGATTCATCAGATCAGGTAATGACCTGGATTCTTTAAACAGAAGAAATTGTGTCACTATCCAATACTTACTAAAATTTAGAAACTACTTCAAATGGATAAATGAAGAAAGTTGTTTTACCCCTTTTAGTGAAAGGGGAATATCATTTGGTGTTTGATTGTTAGAAAATGACTTATTTTCTGGAAAATGTTTTCCTCTGTACCACCCTTAGTAGTTACCTTGCTGTGGAATGTTGGAAGGTGTCTTGAGATCTGGAGAAAAGAAAATAGTTGACACACAGAAGTTTAGGGACAAATTTAGAATTTTGTTTTGTTTTTCTGAATACTTGTAGTTTTGGGAAACAATACCTTGATAATTTTATGAATGTTATGCTTGTAGATCTTAAGGGTATGAAACTTCTGAAGTCTGTCTTCGTTTCTAACCTTCTTGGCAAGCTGTTGACCAGTAAGGAGTTGAAGATTTCACTAGAAAAAGTATTCATGCTATAACATGATTGATTTTGTATCCTTTTTATTATTTTAAAGAAAGGAGATTGATTTCTGTATCATATTTGTCTTGTCCCCTAATGAAACCTGGCAAATTATAGAGTTTATCTTCCTGAATGAATTTAAATCATTATCTTTATTTAATTACCTCTTGTATAATCTTAAGAATTCATCTCCTTAGTCTCGTGATTTGCTTGGACTAGATTATAGTAACCTGCTTAGTACATTGGGATGTTCACTAATTCAGACATCGAATTTGTTGCCTTTAAAACTTCCTGACAGAAAAAGGTTTATCGAATTTGTAGCTGATGGTCTTGGTTGATGATGCGGGAGGAGAATGGCCTATGATCGGGCATGCGCCATGGAACGGTTGCAATCTTGCAGATTTTGTGATGCCATTCTTTCTGTTTATTGTGGGAATGGCCATAGCACTTGCATTAAAGGTTAGCTTCGCATTCTTTTTTCTTCTTCCCATCCTTAAGAGGATAAAGTAGGGTAATTGTTCCTACTCATTGGTGCTTAACTACTTATTGTGTAGAGAATACCAGAAAAGCTAGTGGCCATCAGAAAGGTGATTCTAAGGACACTCAAACTTCTATTTTGGGGCCTCCTTTTACAAGGTCAGTTATCTTTCTTTCCTTCCTTTTATGTTATTCTTCCCTTCATGTTTCCATGCAAGATGCATTCTATTCATATCCAATATATCATAGAAAATCTAGGAGGAGTGTTGGACTTACAGTGTCTACAAGCTTCTGAAATAAGGAAGTAGCCTTTTTTCCCCTTTATCTGGTGACGTTTCACAGTTCGTTAATGCTATTGACTGAATGCATAATGTGTTGCAAATCTAAAAAAGTAATTTAGGTTGTCTTCAGTGGATAACATCCATAGTAATTAGTTGATGTTGTGCTTTAGAAGTTGATGAATAGCTCTGTAGGACTTAAACATATATTTTTTTTATTTTTTTTTTGGTAACCTGCATATTTCATTCATAACCAAAATTGTTTCTTTACAAAACAAAGTAGTATTGGACTAACTACTCGCTCATAATACAAACAAAATCTACTAACCTATAGCCTTCTAGACAATACAACCTGAATAGATCAGCAATTCAATACTATATATAGCTAAACCAAAACTAAGGGTAGACATTGAGTTGTTGAAGTGCATTCTTCCATTTCGCCCTGGTCTGACTCTTGATATGCATATGCATTACAATTTCCTTCAAAACTTCATATATTGGATCTCCTAAAGTAGTCACACGTATTATCCTTAGGGGATTATTGTTTTATTAGCCCTTTCTCTGTGATTCTGCCAACCTTTGTGATTTTAATAAGTTGTAACTACGTTTTAGCTCTAATGAATCTACAGACCCTTTCTCCTTTCTAATGGACACCTATCCCAGAACGAATGATCAGTAATGACATCTACTGATTAGCTTTCCTTTAGGAAACAGAATTATGTTTGGCTTCAGATAGAAACTTTCAACCAAGTGGGAATCCATTTGTTAAACCTGGTCTTGCATCTCATCTTTCCTCTTCCCAAAGTTATTAGAAGTCTAACCTCATCCTTTCAATTGTGAAGGGGGTTATTTCCATGATCTTGACAAGCTAAAATATGGTGTTGACATGAATATGATAAGGTTGTGTGGCATCCTTCAGGTAACAGTTTCTAATCCCACCCCCCTTTCTGTCTCTCTTTTGAATGCTAATATCTTGTGTTGGTGATAATTCTTCTGCTTCTTATCTTTGTAGAGAATTGCTCTCGCTTACTTAATTGTGGCCATAATAGAAATAACAACAAGACAAGCCCAATCCAAAGAACTACCAACGGGATGGTTCTCTATTTTCAAGTTATACAGCTGGCAATGGTGAGTATTATTTTGGTGTTTCTAAAGTGGTGATAGCATTAAGGATCTCCAAGTTAGTACTGAACATTTCTTCATGATTTCAGGGTTATTGGAGCATGCGTTTTAGTAGTTTACTTGGCCACATTATACGGAACATATGTTCCTGACTGGAATTTTGTTGTCCAGAACCCGGACAGTGTTGATTTTGGAAAGACTTTAACCGTGAGTTTCCCTCGTCCATGTTCCAAAGTTACCTTTAATATTTCTATATTTAAAGTCAAAAGATTTTGCTTTTGGTATTAGGTAACTTGCAATGTGAGAGGAAATCTTGATCCTCCTTGCAATGCAGTGGGTTATATTGACAGACAGATACTTGGAATCAATCACATGTATCCACGTCCAGCTTGGAAGAGATCCAAGGTGATTGGTTCTTCACAAAAATTATATCTTCCCTCTATTGTTGTTCTTTGTGATTTGCCATCTCCATTATCACCGGATTAAGTTCATCTGTAACACCTTTGATGGATCTTTATTCTACAGTCTTGCACTAAAAATTCTCCATATGAGGGACCTTTCAAGGATGATGCTCCATCATGGTGTTGGGCTCCTTTTGAACCTGAAGGAATTCTGAGGTAGGATTCGTATCATCAATTCTCTCTTTTCGTCAAAGTCTTGTGTGCTCGTATCATCAATACAATCTTTATCTTCGGATTTCTAGTTGCTTGATTAATAAAAGTTTTTAAAGTCTAATACCTTTTATGCTACTTACCAATGTTCAATTTTCCCTGTCTGGTAAATTCTTCTACTTATGACTACAGCTCAATTTCTGCTATTCTCTCTACGGTCCTTGGAGTTCATTTTGGGCATGTTCTTATTCATATGAAGGTTAAGTCAAAATCTTCTAGACTTGACCGTCTCACCAAATTAAAGCAAAGTTACTGATATATTCCAATTTTTGTAACTCCAGGATCACTCGTCCAGACTTTTGCATTGGATTGGCATGGGCATAGCTCTTTTTAGTTTTAGGTAATTATTCTCCACTTCACAGATGGTAAAATTCGCAGTTTATGAAATGCACTCGAAAGCTGGATATATCTTCTTTTCTCTTCCTCATTTTTCCTTCGATGGTGCTGAATGCAGCTATTCCTTTAAATAAGCAATTATACACCTTCAGCTATGTCTGTGTAACCTCAGGAGCAGCCGCGTTAGTGTTCTCTGCTTTCTACATTCTGGTACAGTAGTCTTGTCCAAAAATCTGGTCACTTCTATTATATGTTCCTTGCTACAAACATTAGATTTGGAAGTTCTAGACTTTTACGATTAAATCACACTTCCCTCTGAAATGCAAGGTCATTCATTAGAAACAAAAATCTCAAGGTTCAAGTTGATGGAAAATGTTCCAAGTTTTATGTTTTCATCAATCAGTACCGGATGATATAGAGCAGGAGAATGTGTAGCTGAGACTTTACAGAATGAGTATTTTTAACAAGAAAAGCTTAGAATGACAACATTCTGATGTGTCATCACCGTAGCAAGATTCACAAACTTCTAATCCTGATCCTTTCCTTTTGGTCCTTTTGGAATGCAGGTTGACATTTTGAACTTGAAGTATATATTTCTTCCACTAGAATGGATTGGTATGAATGCGATGCTTGTTTATGTAATGGCCGCCGCAGGAATATTTGCAGGTTTCATCAATGGCTGGTATTACGAGGACCCTCATAACACACTGGTATTTCATTCATCTCTTCCTCACTTTGATATGATGCAGTCCATTGTATACAAATAGTCAGAGGCGGATTCAGGATTTGAACATCATGGGCTCGAGTTTGAAATTCTACCACAACAGATAGGTTACTGGGTTCGAAATTTGTACTTACATGGTGAATTTCTTAGCACAGACAAAGTTACTTATGCAGTACATCTGCCTCTAGCCATCTGCTTTCTGCAGCCAGTTGTCAAAACTTAAATAGGCCATACGACAATTGTTGCTTCTGGTTTTGCTTACAATCTTTGACAGATAGGATCGAAAATAAGAAGTGAACTCAGTTCAATGTTTTCTCCTGTACGAGTTCATAGTTGTGCAAGTAAACTGATTGAACTTACTCAACATTTGCAGATATATTGGATCAAAAAGCACATCTTCATTGGAGTGTGGCATTCAACAAGAGTGGGAACACTTCTTTATGTCATCTTTGCTGAGATATTGTTTTGGGCTATTGTTGCTGGCCTACTTCATCGATTAGGCGTATACTGGAAGCTTTAGTTCTGATGAAATTTGCTCTTTTGCTTGATTGTTATTTTAAGATAAGATATAGCATTGTATGTACTTGAAACTAGAAAAAGCTTCAGCTAGACATGGATCTCAGTTTGATTTCTCTCTTTGTTATGTTTTGTGTTAAATTTTTGGTAGAAAGTTGTAATATTGAAGTTAGAGTAGTTTTTTTTCAGTATTCTGTTTAGCGAATCTTTCTTGGATGATTGGCGCTTGTTGATGATTCCGCTTTTGTTTTACGATAATGGAATTTTGCGCAGTTTTCTGTTTATTTGATGTTTGATCTGAAGCTGTCAATACGATCTGGTTGATTTGTGACTGATGTTACTGACTATGTGGTCTGCATAAAGGCCCTAAACTATTAAGGCGGTGCTGTCTCTTTTTTCTTTTTTATTGGGAATTTAGGAACTAGATCTACTAATCTGGCTCTTAGATTTTAACACCGTCTTGTAGAGGATTTGATCTCAATGTTTTTGACCTTGCTTTATGATCTAATATTGTATATTAGAGCCATATATGAGTAATTTGGATCTGAAAAGTCTTGATATAGGTTGCTTCTAGTTTAGCTAGACTTGTGCCTCATGTTATTTAGGAAATCCTAGTTTTATGTATCTGGATACTGCAAATTTATGTAACCAACAAAAAAAGATGTATGTTTTGCAAGTCCCAAAAGTTGGAGGTCTCAAGTTCGAAATCACTTGCCAGCGGGTTTGCCTTCTGGGTCGACCTCGCACTTGCCTAGGTCTTAATTTTGAGCATTTTTTGTATGATTATATTGTCAATAGGTGCTATTACTTTGTCTGTTTTGTTTTGTTTTTGTTGATTGGATTTATTAGGTTTAGATAGTTGTAAGTAGTATAGGTGTAGAGATCTAGCATTTGCTCATTTTGCCTAGTCGTGAATGTCTGCTTATACTAGTAATTGATTGGATTTGTTGACTTGATTCATAAAATTATAATGTTACTGCTAGTTTCCGTAAAAAGATATGGTATCTCTTGATTTTGCCTTTGCTCATTCATTGTTGTGAATATTTGCTCTAACGGATTAGTTCCTTTTAGTGAATGTCTAATTAAGATTTGTTGATTAGATTTGATACATCCCTTCCCTCTCGGATACATCCCTCCCCTACATATCCAAATGTCGTATCCCATCTCTTATATATCCCTCCTCTGTTGAATACGTCCCTCTCCTATGTATTCGGAAGTCCAATGATGTATCCGAAAGTCCATAAATTTTAAGGGATTTTTGTAATTTAGAAAAGAGTAGAAAAATAATGTAATTAGGTCTTGTGAGATTTATGTAAATTATATTTTTTTATTTTCCAACTTTTGGGCCATAATGCTCAAAAACTCAAGTCCAACATCCATTACAGGCACAATCTCAAATCATCTTATATCGTAGTTCTACACACGAGCTGAAAGGTTCTCTTTTTTTGCTTCTCCCTCAATTGACATGGGAACACGAGAGGTATACGAAGAAAAACTGAAGAGAGGGAATCTCCATCATGATCCTACAATCAAACCTGGCCTCGGCTGTGCTAGATGTCCTCGTTGTCTTTCTCTCTTGAACTCCAATTCAGTATGTATCATATTCTAGTCGGTTTTTTTTTTTGTGTTTTTGTAATTGTCCACATCTTGCCTAGTACATGCTTGATGAAATGCCTAGCTAGTAATTTGTGCTGTTTCTGTTTGATTTCAGTTGCAGAAAAGTGGAGAATGGGTGATTACTCCTGTTCTACATGATTTCACGGCTGTGGTTAGTATGCTATATTACATGTTTCGAATGGTATTTGAACTGCAAGATCGAACTAGCCAAATCTGTTGTTATGATTAAAATTTACCTAAGTAGTCACAAATTTTAAGATTGAATGGTGTTGGTATTTGTGATCAAAGTCCCACTTTGGTAGTTGAAAATAAAAAGTAAGCTACTAATGATAAGTGTTGGTTATCTTAGGAGTCGTTTACTGTGAGACATAAGGTATAATAATCTTAGGAACAAAATGCGGGATTATTTTATCTTGCGTTTGGTTAGAGGTATTAGGCAGTCTTGGGATTATTTATCCCATCATTTAGACCTTAGTGATGGGATAAGTTATCTCATATACACGGTGGAATAACTTATATCACGATGATTAATTCCGGTATAACTTGTTCTCAACCAAGTGACCCCTTAATAGTATGAGGCCTTTTAGGGAAACTGTACATGTTTGTCCCAAAGTGGACAATATCACACATGTTAAGTGTATCTTTCAGTTGTTTAACCTAATGACTACGAGACGAGTAGGGAGATGACGTAGTGATGGTGTAGGGACCAGCTCCGAATTAGCCCATGAATGGTAATGGATCATGTGGTACATAGCTAATGGGGGAAATTGTTGTGTGTGTGTAAACAAAGTCCATACTGGTAGCTAAAAAGAAACGTAAGCTACTTATAAGTTGTTGAATCCTCCTCTTGATATTGGTAACCTAGCCCAAAACCATGATCATGGAAAAAAGTATGGGGATAGTCTTAATGGCGTGAGGCCTTTTGGGAAATCGTGCAGGCTTGGACCAAAGCACAATATCACACCATGTTGATGCTGAAAGTGGTTGATACCGAAGAGCTCTTAATGTTATATGAATGTTTTGTATATGTCCAAAACTTCAAGATTTTGTTTCATAGTAAATTGGAATTGAGCTTAGTTGAGTTCAATGCAGAGGAAGGTTTCTATTGTGAACCCTGAAAGAATTCCGTTTTTGAATGTCTTCCACCTGAAAATCTGAAAGACTTATCTTTTACCTGAAACCGAATATTTTACCCTTGTCTTACTAATCATAATTTTTATAATCGGTTGGACAAGGCTAATAAACCCATAGTGAACAGAGTTATAGCGCAATCATAATATGAAGAGTTTTTACCAACTAGTTAAAGTAATATTCTTTACCTTTGTGTAGGCTGGCTCTGGAATTGGTGGACTGCTCAGTGCAATTCATGGTTTCAATACAGGCATGATTAATTAATCATCTCTTCTGTGCTTATCTTTGTTTCTTTATTGTATTACTCTCCTTATAGTAAATCGTGGTTGAAATCTTAAACTAAATACTTCCCTCTCTTTTATCTAATGAATTCATAGCTGAAGTCTTAATGCTAGTACTTTTCAGGAATTCCTTTTGTCCAGAGACACGTGAAGGGTCCAAAGTGGCTTCCATTTGTTATAGGGGTAGGCACTTAATCCACTTTTCTGATCTTAAACTCTTTTCTTTCTCTCTTCTTCCTATTCATTGTATTCTTGATTTTTGTGCTGTACTCAAATCTATGTAAAGTTGAGTATACAATTGATATGTTATCTAATGCTTCACCTTTCCCCTTGTTTTGTTCTTGCAGCTTCCTTCACTACTCATGTTCTCTGCAGCTAGCGCGACATTTGGAGGTAATTCTATGAAGTTCTAATTTCATTCTAATCTTCATTCTTTAAATTTAGCATGTGTTGTGTTATAAATTGATGATAAAGTTGCCATGACACTCAACATATTAACTTTTTTTTTTTGAAAAGTAACCCTCAACAACAATACTTCCCTATGCACCAATACTTAAAAGTTGGTAATTTGAAGATTAATGCAATAATTACTTTCTAGGATATATATTGGGTATCTTGTTTTTAGTTTACTTTCTCTATCTTAATATAATTGGATATCACTTTATCCCATCAGTATTTTGAGTATTCAAGAAAACATAATGTATAATCTTCTGTTTTACGCAAGTATATAATTGTTGGTGATATTTTCACTCCCTGCTTATCTACTTCTAATGAACATTGCTTTCAACTATATCCTGTAAAGAATCAGAATTTATAATGGATGTGAAAAGAATGTTCTAATCAAAAAGACATACCTTGATCTGTTTCTTGTTGTACGTAGAGTAGAATCACTTTTTTTTTTAAACTGGTGAGTAGAATCACTTTGATTCTTTAAACTTTATGAAAACTGCTTTCGCTCCTGTTCAACCTTACTCCAGTTACTTTTTTGATGGAAATAACATATTTTTGGTGAGAGATATCACCAGTTCTTGAAAGGTCTTGTATTTTCATGTTCCATCAAGTGAGAAGTTAACTATCACATATATCAGAAATAACCCCTCTAGTGTTGATCTGTCATATTTTAAAGGTGTACCTTAATCGATCAAATAAGGTAATTGTGGTAATAATATAATGTGGGCTCAGCAGGGTGACTTTTATTTTATTTTTGAATGACTGATGTCTAAACCCCACTTTGTAGTAGAGGTAAGGTCTATCGGAAACAACCTCTCTACCTTGAGGTAGAGGTAAGATTTGCATACACTTTATCCTCCCCAGACCCAACTTTATGGGACTACACTGGGAATGTTGTTATGATGAGTATGACTGATGTCTAAACCAGCACTAAGGAAGTGCTATGACACTTGATGGAAAAGTAGATGAGCCTCACCTGGAAATAATTCTCGAAGAGAAGAAAATGTTACATCACACCTGTAGCTTCTGTGGCCATGTGGTTGACAATTTCATTCTCAAATCATGTGAACTAACTAGCCACAAAAACTGCAATCTATGCACATAATAAATTTAAGCACCTTTTCCTTCCTTACAGCTCAATGTCAAAAGTGGAGTAGTCCACAAATTTTGTGTCTTCTACAGTTTAGGTACCCGTTTTTTTTCTTATAAGAAAATTGCACATGTTCTGGTACCCGTATTTTGTTGAATATATGCCATATATTCGAACTTGTTAGTTTCAAATCATTGTTGAGCAAGCTTTCTGTTATGCTAAGGTTAATTGTCTTCTTCAAGATATGAGCATCTTCTCTTCACGATAAGAAATGTTGAGCACTTGAATAAGAGGCGTGGTCAGTGAACAATAGTGTCATGCCAGGCACAATCAAGGATCTGAAGATTCAAATACTTCTAAATTTGGAGAATTGTAGACATAACTGACTTTACTAGACTTAGTTTTTTAGTTATCGCTTTGTCGTACTTATTCTTGGTACCAAGTTTAAACAATATACAGAGAAGGTCCAAATATACCCTTATACTATGCAAAATTGAGCAGATTTACCCCACATTAGTACTTTAGTTCACTTATGCCCTTACCGTCAAATACTTGGTCCAAATACTATGCGCAATTGAGCAGAATAAGGGCGTATTTGGACCAAGTATTTGATGTTAAGGCTTATGCAAATTGAAGTATAAACGGAGGAAAAATATGCTCAATTTCACATAGTATGAGGGTATATTTGGACCTTTCCAGAACAATATATTGTATCCAGGGGACAAGTTAGCTCATAGGGTTGATGCTAGTACTCTGCAGCATATGCGTGAATTGGCTTGCTGAACTGATCTTGCTTAGGGTGGGTGAAGAAGGGTATCCAATTGAAATCTATGCACTTCTTTTTCTATTTTTTCTCTTAGATGTGCTCGGCACCGAGCGCCCGGAGATTGATTGAAAAAGCAGGCCCTGCCTACCCTCTCTCCCTACTTGTCCCAAAGAAGTATTTCTTCACTTTATTTTTCAAAACTAGAATTTCGTATATCAATAAATTAGGCTCTTTATAATATTTTGAAGGAATAATTCATGGGAAAGTGCCATTTAAAGGAAAATAAAGTAGCCACTCATTTTTACATTCACTGGAAAGTACTTTAATGACAATAATCAAAGATTTTTTTCCATGCTTTAATCTTATTTATGAAAGTAATTTTCGATGTGTAAATGACCAGATTTTGCATTACAGGATATGCACTTCTAAGGTTTACTCAACTTACGATGACTTCATATTACACTGCTTCAAGTGCCTCACATTACAGAATATCATTGCTTACCAGACGTATTGAGGAGGCCCATACTTCTAGTGTTCAACCTAAAAGACTCACCTGATTGACTTGAGGTGCACAAAATCAGAGCCAAACTTTACTTCAAATTTTGCAACGAATTATATATAGTTGGAGCAACTGTCAATTCAAAAGATGCATGTTCATTGCTTTGGTGACTTCTCTTTTGATAAAATATATAGTTTTTACTTTGTAATAATAGGAATGTTTAAACTTGGAAGAAAACACTTGAGCTTCTGTCAAAACTGGATCTTGTATCTAAGTGCTTTGTATTAGAACAAAATGCCTTGTCATTGTTTGTAAATTGGTACATCCTCATCGATGCTAACTGTGACTAAAGAGCCCTTTAATTTTTTTTTAGGTCGAGAGTTTTCTACCCCACAAAGGTACGGGTAAGATGTGCATACATCCTACCTTCAGACTCGACTTGTGGAATTACACTAGGTATGTTGTTGTTGTAGTCACTTCTCTATTACTAACTTTATATCTCCGAAGGCTGCAGGAGTGTGGGGTTAAAGAGAGAATTTTATGGCCTGACTTGCACAACATGTTTTGGACCAAGTATTTGACGCTAAGGGCATTAGTGATTTGAAGTATTAACGGAGGGAAAATATGCTTAATTTCGCATAGTATGAGGGTATATTTGGACCTTTCCCGAACAATATATTGTATCCCGAGGACAAGTTTGTGTTAGTACTACGCAGAAGATGTGGCTAATCGTCGTCATTTAGAGACAAAGAAGCCAGATGACAAGCTAGATATATTGTATCTAATTTTGTTTCTACTTTCAAATTATAAATCAACTTATCGGAGAAAAGGCCTGCTTCCAGTTATTATTATTTTAAGATGGAATGTATGTAGGCTTGAAAGGCTCACTCTCTTTCCTTTGTGAAGACATATGTAATAGTGCGTGTCTTGAAAATACTTGGCCTCTCAGTATGTGTGTTATTTTAAATGAAAATTGTGCTAGCTTTCTTTTACCCAATCCTAGAAGCTGAGTTTATCACTGGGGTTGGAGACTGAGTTTGCAGTAGTTTATAAATTCTGGAAGCTTAGTCTTCCCTTAGCTCTTCATTTGACCAAGTTAATAATCCCTCTTAGTGCTTTGTGGTTAACTATGTTATAATTTTCCAGGTGATTGATAACGTTCAAGAAGAAACAAAAAGCCGTGTAGGTACTACTTTGGACTATTAATTATCAGGAATTGTTATAACCAACTTCTAATTAGCTATTGGATCAATGTGGGGTTTGTTGATTTTACAAATACTGCCCTACTAGCCTAGAATCAGTGTGAGAAAATGGTCAAATGACCCCTTAACGTATATCCGAATTTTCAACTACACACTTAAACTTCACGGGAGTCCTATCACCCCTCTGTACTGTTTAAAATTGAAATTATTACCTCCTTAAATGCTTAGCTGGCATAGTGAGTGTATTTCACTTTCTTTGGGAGTGTGAGTATCAAATATATTATTAAAACTTTATTTCTAATCTCTTTTCAATAAATATATGCATTTTTAATTATTTATTTTTCTTATTTGTTTTCTTTCTTCCCCAACAATATAAACAAATCTCTCAATTTTTCACCACCTCTAAGTCTTGCTGCCCATCTTCACTGGATTCACTATTGTTGATTCCAAACAAATTTCAAACTCATATAAAACTCTTGCAAAATAAATCAACCTAAATCAATTGTAGATAAGTTTACATATATTTATATCACCCCAAGATTCTTTGGATTCGATTTGAGAAAAATCAATATGGGTTTACTTCAAATCCAATTGAACCCACCGATTTTTATTTTTTACTAATAGATCCTTTAATTATCAATCTCAAATCTCAATCAATCAACTATATCTCAAACATTGTTGCTATTAATCTCGTTAATTCATCAATCGTCGTAGAGCCAGTCTCTTTCTCTTCGAAATTGTTGTCGCAATCGATGATGATGTGGAAGACATCGTAGGCTCCTCCTCCTCATCTTCCTTGAGAGGATTACTTATCTTCGGTGACCACCATTAATGGCAATATTTTTCCATGTTCGTCTTCTCTCCCGCCTTCATTTTTTTTAAACTTGATTTTTAGGTTTTAAATGAGCAAAACCCGAATATCTCTGGATAAGCTCTGAAATCATTATTCACCTTTCTTCCTTAAAGACCCAATTTCATGGACTTATGGTGTTCTAGTAATGGTGAAAGTACTTTGGGTGTGTGAAGGGATGGGTAAGAATATAGAAGAAAAGGGTAAATAAATATATAAAAAAAAAATTAAAAATATTTGATGAGGTGTCAAACGCGTGAAACTCACATGCCACCATAGATCTGGTTATGTCCTTTTAAGGGTATAATTATTTCATCTTTAAACAGTTCAGGGGACTGATAGGACTCCCGTGAAATTTAAGTGTGTAGTTAAAAATTCGAATATACGTTGAGGGGCATTTGGCCATTTTCTCTATCAGTGTCTGAGCATTCAGCTTAATTAGTATATTTTTAAATCCTTTTGCAGATAGAAAACCACCTGGTATCGGTGGACGAGGAAGGGGAAGAGGAGGTAGGGATGAAGGTGCTGTTGGAAGACAGGCGAAAGACATTGGGCGTGGAATGGAAGATGCAGGTGCCAAAGGCCGGGGCAAAGGATGACCTGGTGCCAAGTCTGGTGGAAAAGGTATGAAGTGTTCAATATGCAAGTTATAATGTAATTTTATTCTCGTTCTGCTAAAGCTTATGTATCCCTGAGTCTCAATCCGCAGCGACCATGTTCAACACTTGAAATTAGTCTCCATACAGCAAGTCTCTTTATGTTGTAACAGTCCTCAAGTATATTTGTGAACGCAATATTTATATAGCCATTTGCTAATCAGATGATTCTGGATGGTATTTATTGTACAGGTGGTGGCCGTGGACGTGGCTAATCATCGTCATTTAGAGACAAAGAAGCCAGATGACAATCTAGATATATTGTATCTAATTTTGTTTCTACTTTCAAATTATAAAGCAACTTACCGGAGAAAAGGCCTGCTTCCAGTTGTTATTACTTTAAGATGAATGTATGTAGGCTTGAAATGCTCACTCTCTTTCCTTTCTGATGACATGTAAGAGTTCGTGTCTTGAAAATATTTGGCCCTCAGTATGTGTGTTATTTTAAATGAAAACTGAGCTAGCTTTTTCTTTACCCAATCCAAGAAGCTGGATATCTAGTTAAAGACGCCTTTCACTTTATACTTAGAATGTTAAATAACACGAGTAAATATTTCTGTACTTAAGATTAGGGAGGCAAACATTTGGTTTTATCTATTATTTTCCAAAAGATATGATTATTGCTTCTTTATTTGTAGGTAGTGGCGTAGCCAAGAATTTTATTAAGGGGGTCCAAACTTTGAATAGTAATTTTATTTTTAATAAATGATGATTAGAGATTTTATTTTTAATAATATTGTGATATAATTTGGGTAAATTGGCCTCCTATTTATAGAGAAAAAAAATCTTATTCCAAAAGGAAAATGTATTAAAATTTAAAAAATCTTATTCCACAAAGGAAAAAGGTATTAAAATATAAGGAAATCTTATTCCACATGGAAAAGGTATGAAAATTTAAGGAAATAATCCAATTTTAATTGAAAAAAAATACTTATTGGAGGTGAGTTTTGAACTTGGGTCAATCAAGACAAGCATAACACTATTTACCACTAAGCTAGGGAATCAAACTAGGGTGGAGAGTAGGTTTGCAACACCTCTAGCCATCTCCAGTATGGATTACTTTGTTATTTTAGGGTGTCCAAAATACAATATATATCAATATAAATCAAAACTTTACGTGTATATATCATATTTTTCAACGAAGGGTGTCCAATTGGACACCTTGAGGACAAGGTGGCTTCGCCCCTGTTTGTAGGTTTCAAGTAATGCCAAATTTGGATGAGATTTGGAAGTTCTAAACTTTTACGATTAAATCACACTTCCCTCTGAAATGCAAGGTCATTCATTAGAAACAAAAATCTCAAGGTTCAAGTTGATGGAAAATGTTCCAAGTTTTATGTTTTCATCAATCAGTACTAGATGATATAGAGCAGGAGAATGTGTAGCTGAGATTTTGCAGAATGAGTATTTTTAACAAGAAAAGCTTAGAATGACAACATTCTGATGTGTCATCACCGTAGCAAGACCCACAAACTTCTAATCCAGATCCTTTTGGTCCTTTTGGAATGCAGGTTGACATTTTGAACTTGAAGTATATATTTCTTCCATTATAATGGATTGGTATGAATGTGATGCTTGTTTATGTAATGGCCACCGCAGGAATATTTGCAGGTTTCTTCAATGGCTGGTATTACGAGGACCCTAATAACACATTGGTATTTCATTCATCTCCTCCTCACTTTGATATGCTGCAGTCCATTGTATACAAATAGTTAGAGGCGGATTCAGGATTTAAACATTATGGGCAGAGTTTGAAATTCTACCACAACAGATAGGTTACTGGGTTTCGAAATTTGTACTTATATGGTGAATTTCTTAGCACAAACAAAGTTACTTATGCAGTACATCTGCCTCTAGCCATCTGCTTTCTGCAGCCAGTTGTCAAAACTTAAATAGGCCATACGACAATTGTTGCTTCTGGTTTTGCTTACAATCTCTGACAGATAGGATCGAAAATAAGAAGTGAACTCAGTTCAATGTTTTCTCCTGTATGAGTTCATAGTTGTGCAAGTAAAATGATTGAACTTACTCAACATTTGCAGATATATTGGATCAAAAAGCACATCTTCATTGGAGTGTGGCATTCAACAAGAGTGGGAACACTTCTTTATGTCATCTTTGCTGAGATATTGTTTTGGGCTATTGTTGTTGGCCTACTTCATCGATTAGGCGTATACTGGAATCTTTAGTTCTGATGAAATTTGCCTCTTTTGCTTGATTGTTATCTTAAAGGAGTAATTTCCCTAGATAGTCACCCATGTTTGGGAAATTACCTAGTAATATCACTTATGTTTGTTTTAGGACTACAATATCACCCAACTTTACATATTTTCCTCAAAATATACTTGACACAAAAAAACATTATCTCTCTCCTAATGGGATGCCATGTCACTTTTTTTTAATTTATTAATAATATCTTTTTTAATTCTTTAAATGTCTGTAGGCTCCTAATACTAAGTAGTTTAGTTGTGGAATGCCTACATTAGGAATTGAAGTGTTTGCGCCCCTGCTTGTATGTAGTGTTTGCGCCCCTGTTGTGTGTCTATTTATTTCAAACATTTAACCACCATTATAAATCGAGGTTTATTTTAATACAAAGGAAATAACAATTTAGATAGATAAAGAAAATAATAGATTGTTAAAATACGAAATTTGTGTTTCAATTGCATACTTAAACTTTTCACCCTTCATTAAGTTAAGTACGAAATTACAATTTTATTTTTGAATTAATTGTTGCATATATAATCGTAAAGCTAAAACCATGTCGATTCTCGCAAGAAATCAAGAGCGGAGCTAACCTTCGGTTACACATAATTTAGTTATATTTACGATTTTAAAATTATTAAAAATATATATAAAATATTGATTTAGAACTCTCTACTTTAAAGAAGTAAAATTTAAAACTTACATGTATGCTTAAAACTAGACACACGTGTCTATGCTAACACGAGCCCAATATCTATTATTTTAATTTATGTGATATCGATAGAATTTAGAAAGTTGATTAAATTTTAATATGATTTTAGATATTTTAAGTTGTTAGTTACTTTTTGTTTGCGCAAATTTTAATGTGAAGAGGTTCATTAAGATGTCCATAATTAAAGTATTTTTCGTCATCGATCATTGATTTTATACTCAAAGTAGCTACAAGCTTAAGATATTACCGACATCCAAAATAATAAAGCTACAACTAAAGAATATGAATTTAAAACTAAAAGATATAACTTAAAGAATTAAAAAAAAAATTATTAATAAATTAAAAAAATGTGACATGGCATCCCATTAGGAGAGAGATAATTTTTTTTTTTTGTGTCAAGTATATTTTGAGAAAAATAGGTAAAGTTGAGTGATATTGTAGTCCTAAAACAAACATAGTGATATTACTAGGTAATTTCCAACATGGATGACTATCTAGGGAAATTACTCTTATCTTAAGATAAGATATAACATTGTATGTACTTGAAACTAGAAAAAGCTTCAGCTAGACATGAATCTCAGTTTGATTTCTCTGTGATTAAGAAGTTCAATACATCTAGCAGAATAAACGAACAATACAGATAAAGCTATTCTTTTCCTATTATCAATTCGGGGTGGGGCATACAAAAAGTGCTTTGGAGCCCAAATGAAAGGCGTAGATCCAATAGAAGAATTTGGGGCATAAGCCGTTTTAAATTTGATGTTTGGGGCATTATGTGCTAAAATTCAAAAAAATCTTGGACTTTGACTTATAGAGTTTGAAATAGATACCTTATGTAACGAAGTGGTAAACTAGGTATCATGAGAGAATATTATTTAATCAATGGAAAAAGTTGAAATTCGAACAACAAAAATTGCAACAAAAAAAGTATAGTTTTGCCTTTAAAAGTTTCAAACTTTTTTTTTTTAGTTAACTAGATATTATTATTAGCAAAGAAGCTTAAGTAACATTACAAAATAAGGGAATAGTACTAATCCCGTTATATATTGTAGCATTGGTTGCTATGAAATTACTATTATGAGTCAAAATTTCCCTTGCAAACGTAGTTCCTAGTATATCTGCCCAAGCTTTGCGAACATCAAAGCAACTTGCAAAACTCTTGTGCGATCAAATAATTGCTTCTTGGCCCCTTTTCTTGGCTAAGAGGTCAACTACTTTGTTTTGTTATGTTTTCTATAGGTATGTGAGAGTTTTGGATCTTCCAATAGTTACATCAATGATCTGCATTCATGAATTATAGAGCTATAAAATTTGTTATCATTATTAATAAAATGTATTATCTCGATTAAGTTTGTGGAGATTTCCAAAGACATCAAGTTATTATCTTTTGCAATCTAAGTCTCTGCATAAGAGGTAATAATTTCATTAGAGTATTAATACTACTTGAAATACCCTTCATAAAGCCTAGTATCCAATCACCTCTATTATTACGTATAAGTCCTCCAATACCCTCTGCACAATGTTAGAGTTTCACCTTTAAAAGGTCATGTATTACAATACATTATATTGGAGTTCCACCAGGAGAAAAAAATTTGGACTCCAAAGCAATTTCTTGTTTTAGGTAATGATATTTATCTTTTATCCATTTTTTAAAAATTTGCCCTAGGCTTTTTTGCTTTCTGGCGGGCCGAAAAGGTACTGGGCCAATAATGGGCCAGTACCAACAGCATTGAGACGGCCCATGTAACAATATTTTTCTTGGAGAAGAAGACTGCAAATATTGGCATCCAAAAAGAAGAGAATATAAAGCTTTTCGACTGTACAAGCCTACACAGATCGACTCCTTCTCACCAATTTCTGCCCGGAATCCCATACAAACACAATCTCTGTCGACGATGGCAACGCCGATGGCTGAGGATAGCAACTTCGAAGATGACCAGCTCCATGCTATGTCCACTGAAGATATTATTAGGGCTTCACGCCTTCTTGACAATGAAATTCGAATCATAAAGGTTCCGATCTCTCTTATTTTACCCTAATCACAGTTATCATGAGTTATTTTGTGTTTGTTGAATGTTTTGTTTTGTCTATTTGTATCAATTTGGGGCTTTACCGAGGAGATTGACTAATTGACTTGAATGGTGAATTATAGGAAGAGCTGCAGAGGACGAATCTAGAGTTGGATTCATTCAAGGAGAAGATAAAGGAGAACCAAGAAAAAATTAAGCTCAATAAGCAACTTCCTTACTTGGTCGGCAACATTGTTGAGGTGAGTAATTAGGTTTTCCTCAAATTAGTATCCCTCTTGCTTCGACGTCTATTTTAGCAAGTGATATTTACACAATAGGAAAAAAAGAATTTTATTTTTAGAAAATGAAGCTCAATAAGCAACTTCGTTATCAGTTACTTGATCGGCAACAAGTTGAGATGAGTAATTAGGTTTTCATCAATGAGTATCTTTCTTGTTTTGACGCCTATCTTTAGCAAGAGTGTAGTGCAGAG